TTGTGGAGTAGGATGCCGTGGCCTACTGTGTCAAAAGTTTTCCTTAGGTCAATGAAAAGTCCTAATGGATATTTCTTATTTTTCGGTTCTGTGTAAAGCAGGTCTAGCATTTTTACAATTGCATCGTCTGTGCTTTTATTTTTTCTGAAGCCAAATTGGCAGGGGCTGAATATGCTTTGTGCTATTATAAACGAATATAATCTCTTGTGCACGAGGTTCTCGAAGATTTTGGATAGCAACGGTAAGTTTGATATCGGCCTATAGTTGTTTACATATATGGGGTCACCACCTTTGTGTATTGGTGTAACTCTTGCTGTCTTGAGTAGTGTCGGGAATGTGCTAGTTTCTAATGATTGTTAAAAATTATTGAAATAGCATGAGAAAGGACATGAGCCGCTCGCTTGTACAATACTGGTGGGACTTGTGACAGATTCCCTGATTTATTTTTAAGTGCCTTAATAATCGTGGTGACTTCAGTGGGCTCAGTAGGTGCAAAATAAAAGGAGGTTAGGAAATTCCCATCTAAGTACTGACTTGCTCGGGCGTTGGTACCTGGGATTTTGCTCGCAAGATTTGATCCTGTGGTTGAAAAGAAGTCATTTATCTTGTTAACTGTATCAATAGGCTGTAGTGGTGTTTCGTTCAGTTTAGTTAGGACAATATCCCTAGTTATTTTCAGTTTGTGGGTGCCCAGAATCTGAGAGAGTGTTTTCCAAGTATTTTTTTTATATCTCCTCTTATTTCAGTAAATCTGCTGGAGTAGTATAATTGTTTGGCTTTTTTTTATTAGTTCGGTGAGAACTTATGAATAGTGTTTAATAATATCTTTGTGCATTAAGCCCTGTCTGTATTGCTTTTCATACTGATGTTCTTATCAATGGATCTTAGTATGCTGTTAGTTAGCCATGGACAACCTAGCTGTTTATTTGTAATCTGTTTCGTTTTATAGGACAATGTTTATTGTATAGTCTAAGTTATTTATTAAGAAATATGTCTGTCCAATCATCAATACCATCGGCTTTGGAGAATTCTGTAGGGCAGTCAACAGTCTCGAACTCTGCTGTAAAGTTACTTACTGAGGCCTCGTCATGGAGTCTAAATGAAACTTTGTTGTATTCCAGTAGTGGTTTATTAATGTTTGTTAAGAGGAAGGTAGGGTAGTGGTCAGTAGTGCTGTCTGTGATTATCCCTGATTTAAGGGGGGGGGGCTAGTATATTGGTCCATATATGGTCAATTATGGTTGCACTTGTCTCAGTCAGCCTGGCTGGTTTAGTTATTGTTGGTATGAGAAGTGTGTTGTTCATATTGTTGATGAAATCAGTTACAGTCTGATCATCTGGTAGGTCAAGGTTGATGTTGAAGTCTCCAGCTAAGAGAAGGTGGTGCTTGTTCATTTGTTTGTTTGTTATTAGTGTCTAATTTATTACTAAAATTTGGGATGTTTGTATGAGGCATCCGGTAAATGGCCTCGATTGTTATAGGAATCTTAAGATTTTTTACAGTAAAATTAGCAAAAATATATTCTCCATGTTCATCACTATAGCAAGTGGTGTTATAACAAGATAGTTCATTAGAGTAATAAATGCATTGTGTAATACAATTTATATGAAACATCTGTTCTCTAATGATTCGAAATAAATTAACCTTATTCACAGTTTCTTCTGCCACAAGTTCCCGACATTATCAGCTCTGGTCACGTGACCATGGATTTTTCATCAACATTAATTACATTACCTTCATCCATGACTCCCTAATGAACACTGGTTGAACACATTATACGAGACACTTGCATAATTATTATATGTACCAAATGTTCTAGCCAAATATTTCCTGGCTTAGCAAATTAATTATAATTATTATAATATGCGCCAAATATCCTAGCTAAATATTTGCTGGCTTAGCAAAATAATTGTAATTATTATTATAATCAGAAAGATAACAATTATCATTCCTAGCCCTAACTGGGCTTCGCAAATTAATAATTATAGCAATTACAATCCTAGCCTCACTGGCAATTAATTAGCAATTAATTTACATAATAATTACACAAATCCATTAATATTACAAATGTATAAGAAATACAATTCCAGCTCCACTGGGCATGCAAATCCAATTTATTGTGGCAACTATAATCTACTACACAAATACCATTAATTAAGTAAAAGTCAATTATATGTGAACCCAGCAATCCATTACTTTCAATCAAATCATTCAGTCATATTAAATTTTCATTGATTAGGACTAAAGTGTTTTTGAATTATTATTATGTAAGCAAATTACTTGCATGAGGTTCACAGGGTATTACCTGAATTATTACAGGCAAGTAATTTGGGTGAGATAAGTGGGATTTAAGTTACAGTAAGTCACAGCACTGTAACTCCCTCGATGCTCACTTCATCACCACACCCTGTGAGTGATGGTTGTATCTTTTATCTTCTACCATACACACATAATTCTTCAGGTCCCGCAAATTTCCTGTCCCAATTCTTCAGCAGGGGACATTAACATGGGTTCCTATTACAAATTTAGGCCCAAACCCTCTAATATGGCTCAGAAGACGTCGAAATATTGCCAGAATTTCTGCGGCAAATTACAAATGGCATTTCCCTTGCATCACTCCCCAGCTGTTCCACATCTCCCCTCACTCGAAATTTCTCGAAGGGTCAAATCAGCATCACATTTAAATATACAATTGTTGTATAATTCAAATTTATGCATGCTGAATTTAGGAAAATTCAAATTTTTCCACAATACATATTGAGTTATAGGTAAGAGAGGTACCATCAGTATTTGTGGAGAAAATTCTCCAGTAAAGGGGGTATCTCTCAGCCCTCTCAGCCCCCTTCAGCCCTTTGAGGGACTTAGCCCTCCCTGGAAGGGGCTAATGGACTCTCATTAACAGATTAGTCGAACACGTGTTCATACCAGCGTCATAAAATATGCTGTCCTCTCCTTGCCAGTTCCCGTTGCAGCTACAAGTAACAGTTAAACTAGAGTAATTACTCCTTTCTCCTCAACAGGAAAATTAAGGGAAAACCTGCATCCACTTCATCCACAATTTGAGACTATTATGAATTGTAGTCTTTGGCTAGATAACAAGAAATCTACCATCTTGTATTGAATACTGTTACAATGTGTAGCAATGGAGAGAAATCAAGCTGTGTTCAGCATGTCATTTGTGGGGACACGAGAAGGAAAGAGGTAGAGGGTGCGGGCATGGCTCAGATTGCTTCAAAGAACCAATGAGTACATGTGTCGTGAAGACGTTGCTTCCTTATCGAACAAAAGGTAAACGGACAGTAGTGACCAGTGCATTCTTGACTCTTGTTCATTCTGACAATGTCGGGAAATTAGAAAAGTTAGATTATTTCCTTTATATAAGCCAGGGAGCTGGCGGCAGAACTAATCACGTGGTGTTATTGCGTATCCATGTTCTTCCTGCTGAGGATAATACCACGAAACTGTGAACAAATGATGGAACTGAATAGTGAAGTGCAACCAACAGTGAATGATTGCAATAAACATTCCCGACGTAGTGGTGAACATCAGTGCAACATTCCCCGAGACACTCAAGCCTTCAGTCTAATCAAGTCACCAATATCGGTTTTAAACGGCTGTCAGCTTTATGAGGTCAAGTTACACGAGCAAGGTAAGTCTTAATTTTACTTGTAGAGCCTTTTATGTACTGCAGTCCATGGGCAGACACAAGGTAATTTAGAGCCTATTATGTACTGCAGTCCATGGGCAGACACAAGGTAATTTAGAGCCTATTATGTACTGCAGTCCATGGGCAGACACAAGGTAATTTAGAGCCTATTATGTACTGCAGTCTATGGGCAGACACAAGGTAATTTAGAGCCTATTATGTACTGCAGTCCATGGGCAGACACAAGGTAATTTAGAGCCTATTATGCACTGCAGTCCATGGGCAGACACAAGGTGATTAAGGCTGTCCTTTACAAGGCTGTGAGGTATGGGCTTTTAAGCCCAAACCAAGTGAGTACAACTGTTAATATGCATTTCAATTAAAAAATGAAATACTAAAATATACACTACTTTGGGGCAAATTATATAATTAATGCTCACTATTCTACAGCTCAGATGTGGGGATAACGTGATTTAAGCGAAGGAGACTTCTTGACCGTGACTGCAAGAAGTCTGAATCATCAATGAAGCTAGGTATATTTCATTTTATGTCGGGAAGTAAACGTGGCTGGTAAAATTCCCCACAGTATTCATGAGTTAGAGATGTTATTTTTTAGTTATCACTATTAAGCGTGAGTTTCACTGATGAAAACGCCGGAGTCACCTTTCTTACAACTCGCCTTTTAAATGTTGACCAGCAGTGTTTTGAATTTATCTCACTACAATCATTTTATGAACAGGTGTGGGTAAGTACTTGGCCCCTATTTCATAGTCCTGATGTTTGATTATATAGTCTGGAAATGCCAGGTACTTGTGTTTGTGGTTAGGCAAGACACATATGCAACAGTTACGTACCTTTATTTCGAAACGTTTCGCCTACACAGTAGGCGTCCTCAGTCGAGTACAGAAAAGTTGATAGAAGCATATCAACTTTTCTGTACTAGACTGAAGAAGCCTACTGTGTAGGAGAAACGTTTCGAAATAAAGATGCCTAACTGTTGCATGTGTCTTACCCAACAACCTGTCGGTATGTTATACCATTTTAATATTCATTTGTGTTTGTATTTACCTTGGAGAATGTCTGATAGAACAAGCACAGATGTATCTCAATTCTCAGGTGAAATTGTTAAACCCTGTGACCATAATTTATTAAAAGTAGACATTCGCTCCAAGATAATGTGTCTGGGGATTCTCGATGGGTTTCGACTTTTTGATATATCTTTGGCGTTAGTTAATCAAATGTTTCTCGTAGTATATTAATTAGATATATTTAGTAGATTAGCAACAAAGAGAAAAGCAAAGGGAAGAAAGTGGGTGACTTGAACAAAAACTACACAAGTTGAGGTTAACTTGCTTGAGAAGGGTGTCTGGCAGCAAGGGTTGCTGTAATTCTTCTCGTTTGAGTAAAAATTCTCCAGGAAGAACTCTTGGTTCTGGGTGAAGCGGGAGATGTCGCTAGGGCCTGGCACTAACTTCATCTGGACAGCAGGAGAACAAGGAAAGTTACAAAAAATTGTAAACAGAGAGGATATTTGTCATTGATGAGTTTACTACACAGTTTAAAGCTTTCCGGTATTCACATACCTTTCCAGTACCGCTCACTGACCTACACTTGTTTGTTTACCGTGTTTTGAAATGATATCTACAGTGTACTATACAGCTCTAACTTCCATGGCATACCTGATGAGAATCGGAGGTCCAAGAACCAAACGTCATATCACATCTTTGTTGGTCGAAGGGAAACCACTGGATATCCACGTTACAAACAGAAGTGAAGACTGCGTGGCTCTGCAACTTGCATGTGCCGTTGTGGTTGATTATGACGTTGGTAGAGATGAGAGAGGACTCGTAGTTGTTGTCTGCCCTGTACACAAGAGTGATACACTCACTACCGTATAGTAATTGTTGCAACAGTATTACTGATACTGTTACTATATTGCTGCTGCTGCCTAGTTGAGGTATATTAATCATACTTTTTTTGTAAGAGGGACAGGAAAAATAGGTTGCTAGCTTCTATCTCCCAGTTTTAGGAATAGGGGATCATGAGAAGAGTGTGGATGACATTTTGTCTAGAGGTGGAAGGAATATCACTGTTTACCTGAGTTTAGGATATAATGATATCAGGAGGAAGGCTTGAAGTGAAGAACTGGAGCATAAAGTTAGGCAGGCTCATGCGAAGATTATTAACATTGGTTTCAATATCTGTGATTTTTGCTGGACAAAAAAAAGCAAGTTAAGTATCAGCATAGATATATACATAATATATGCCAGTAATAAAAAGTGTGGGTAGAGTTTTAACATTCATCAGCGACTCTCAGTGCAGATGTCACGGGACTGATCCGCAAAACTCCTTATACAAACACACACACACACACACACACACACACACACACACACACACACACACACACACACAACACACACACACACACACATTACAACCCCCCAAAAAACAAAAAAAGGTGGTGGCTCAGAAGGAAAGTCGAAAGCTCAGAGGATCAGAGGAAAATGGTTCTGGTTTACCTGGAGAGAGTTCCGGGGGTCAACGCCCCCGCGGCCCGGGCTGTGACTGGGATGGATGGAAAAGCAATGTTAAAAAATATGGAACAAGAGTGGGAGAGCAAACTAGATGTGTTTTCTGTGAAAATGGAGAAGAGGATGGAGGTGGAGAAGAAATGGGAGTCTCATGCCGAAGCCACAGAAGCCAGGATAAAGGCATCTGAAGCAGGTACATCCCTGCTGAATGAGGAGCCCAATGGAAAGGAAGGAGACATGATTTATGCTAATGCCCTATCAGACCACCAAGTAGGGCAGAGGAATGAAGGGGAGAGCAGATGGGAACAAGGATAGCAGTAAGAGAGGGGGGAGAGGCAGGAGAAGGGGTTAGGTCCTATGCATAGGAACGACCATGCCACCAAAAGCTACAGGGAAAAATAAGGGAGTCAGTGGCCATGTACAAATGGGACCCAGAGGCACAGATGGAAAGACAATGGGAGGAGGAGAGAGAGAGAGAGGTCAGTGGGCTTCAGGAGAGCAAAGGGAGGATGCACAATGAAAGATGGCAGAAAGAAAAACAGGAGATTGAAAACATCGTGACAGAAATAGGCAAGGAGGACATGACTGGGACAGTAAATTTTCAGACTCGGGGGATACTTGAAGGGGAGAAATCGTTCAATCAAGCTGATTTTCAAGACAGAAACAGTACGAAACAGGATCCTGCAAGAGAAACCATGGCTGAAGGAGACAGAGCAAAAACAGAATGACAGCAGCTGAGGGAGAGGACACAGAAGTGAAAGGGGCTAGGAAGAGAGACAAAGACAGAAATCAGCAGAGGACAAGCAGAGTAGGCAGAGCAACAGGCGCCAGCACACACAGAACCACATCTAGAATCCCACAACCAAAAACTCTATCCCAACACAGACCACAATTCACACTAACAGCCCCCACCCCACACTATGCCATGGAATCCCACAATATACTGACAGGTCCCCCACCCTCACAGACCCCCCAGAACACAGTGCTGGAGAGGAAACTGAGGGTATGGTACACCAATGCTGATGGAATAACAAATAAATGGGAGGAATGGCATGAAAGAGTCAAAGAGGCATCACCGGACATCATAGCTCTAACAGAAACCAAGCTCACAGGAATGATAACAGATGCCATCTTTCCAACAGGATTTCAGATCCTGAGTAAAGACAGAGGGAACAGAGGGGGTAGAGGAGTGGCACTACTCATCAAAACTCGATGGGATTTTGATGAGCTGGAAAGAGGAGACAGGGGAGAAGCAAGAGACTACATAATAGGAACACTTCAGTCTGGAAGTCCCAAAGTGGTTATTGCAGTGATGTTTAGCCCACCGCAGAACAGTAGGAATACAAGGCAAGAGTATCATGAGACTAATAGAGCGATGATTGACACACTTGCTGAGGTGGCCAGAAGGGCTCATGTGAGCAGGCAAAGCTACTGATTTTGGGTGACTTCAAGCACAAGGAAATCGACTGGGAGAACCTGGAGCCACATGGGGGCCCAGAAATGTGGAGGGCTAAGATGATGAAGGTGGTGCTGGATAACCTCATGTACCAGCACGTAAGGGACACTATCAGTGAGAGAGGAAAGGATGAATCAGCAAGACTGGATCTAGTATTCACCTTGAGTAGTGCAGACATTGAGGACATCACATATGAGAAACCCCTCAGGGCCAGTGATCATGTGGTTCTGAGCTTTGAATACATAGTAGAGGTACAAGTGGAGAGGGAAGCAGGAAGGACAGGACAAATGAAGGCAAACTACAAGAGAGGGTACTACATAGGCATTAAGAATTTCCTACATGGGGCTCAGTGGGACAGAGAACTGGCAGGTAAGTCAGTAAACGAGATGATGGGATATGTGAGAACAATATGCAAGGAAGCTGAAGAGAGGTTTGTATCCAAGGATAACAGAAATAACGAGAAGGCCAGGATGAGCCCATGGTTCACCCGAAGGTGTAGAGAGGCCAAAACCAAGGGTGTTAGAGAATGGAACAAGTATAGAAGGTAAAGGACCCAGGAGAATGAGAGAAGTCGTAGAGCCAGAAATGAATATGCACAGGTAAGAAGGAAGGCCCAATGACAATATGAAAATGACATAGCAGCAAAAGCTAAATCTGTCCCAAAGTTGTTGTACAGCCACATCAGGAGGAAAACAGCAGTGAAAAACCATGTAATCAGGCTGAGGAAGGAAGGAGGAGAGATCACAAGAAACAACTGTGAAGTATGTGAGGAATTCAACATGAGATTCAAAAAAGTGTTCACAGAGGAAACAGAAGGGACTCCAGAAAGACGGAGTACACCACCAAGTGTTGGACACAATACATACAACCGAAGAGGAAGTAAGAGGCTGCTAAGTGAGCTAGATACCTCAAAGGCGATGGGGCTGGATAACATCTCTCCATGGGTTCTGAGAGAGAGCAGAGGCACTGTGTACCCCTAACAACAATATTCAAAGCATCCATCGAAACAGGGCGACTACCTGAGATAGGGAAGACAGCAAATGTAGTCCCAATTTTGAAAAAAATGAGACAGACATGAAGCATTAAACTGCAGACCAGTGTCACTGACATGTATAGTATACAAAGAGTGGTGGAACACCTAGAAAAGAATGAGCTTATCAACTACAGCCAGCACGGTTTCAGGGACAGGAAATCCTGTGTTGCAAACCTACTGGAGTTCTATGACAGGGTGACAGCAATAAGATAAAAGAGAGAGAGGTTGGTAGATTGCATTTTCTTGGACTGTAAGAAGGCGTTTGACACAGTTCCACACAAGAGATTAGTGCAAAAGCTGGAGGACCAGGCAGGGATAACAAGGAAAACAGTAAAATGGATTAGGGAATACCTGTCAGGTAGACAACAGCTAGTCATGGTACGTGGCAAGGTGTCAGAGTGGGCGCCTGTGACGAGTGGGGTTCCACAGGGGTCAGTCCTAGGACCGGTGCTGTTTCTGATATTTGTGAATGACATGACGGAAGGAAAAGACTCTGAAGTATCCCTGTTTACAGTTGATGTTAAGTTGATGAGAAGAATTCAATTGAACGAGGACCAGGGAGAACTACAAAGGGATCTGGACAGGCTGCAGGCCTGGTCCAGCAACTAGCTCGTGGAGTTCAACCTCACCAAGTGCAAAGTCATGAAGTTTGGGGAAGGGCAAAGAATATCGCAGATGGAGTACAGTCTAAGGGGCCAGAGACAACAAACCTCACTGAAGGAAAAAAGATTTTGGGAAGAGTATAACACCAGGCACATCTCCTTAGGCGCACATCAACCAAATAACTGCTGCAGTGTACGGGCGCCTAGCAAACCTAAGAACAGCATTCCGACATCGTAACAAGGAATCGTTCAGGATCCTGTACACTGTGTACGTTAGGCCAATACTGGAATATGCAGCACCAGTTTGGAACCCACACTTAGCAAAGCACGTAGGGAAACTAGAGAAAGTGCAAAGGTTTGCAACAAGACTAGTCTCGGAGCTAAGAGGTATGTCCTACGAGGAAAGGTTAAGGGAAATCTACCTGACGACACTGAAGGGCAGGAGAGATAGGGGGGACATGATAACAATTTATAAAATACTGAGCAGAATCGACAAGGTGGACAGAAACAGAATGTTCCAGAGATGGGACACAGCAACAAGGGGTCAAAGTTGGAAGCTGAAGACTCAAATGAATCACAGGGATGTTAGGAAGTATTTCTTCAGTTACAGAATTGTCAGGAAGTGGAATAGTTTGGGAAGCGATGTAGTTGAGGCAGGATTCATACATAGCTTTAAGAAGAGGTATGATAAAGCTAATGAGCAGGAAGAGTGACTCAGTAGAGGCCAGTGAAGAGGCGGGCCACGAGCTGTGACCCGACCCCTACAACCACAACTAGGTGAGTACACACACACACATAGGCACAGTAGTGCCTATGCTATATTCGTATGATGTATAAATATTCCTAGTTGGATGACTCTTATTGTGGCTAGCTGGCCCAGTGGCTAACGCGACGGTCTGGAGTTTTTAGACTCTGATCGCGGGTTCTAACCCCGCCCGTGGTATGGTTTGTTTCTAATCGTGTCTTTACTATTTCGTGAGTCATGTTTGGTCAGTATATGTATGAAGGCGGTAAAGGTAGAAGAGACTGGTGGTCAGTATATGTATGAAGGAGGTAAGGTACAAAAGACTGGTGGTCAGTATATGTATGAAGGAGGTAAGGTACAAAAGACTGGTGGTCAGTATATGTATGAAGGAGGTGAGGTACAAGAGACTGGTGGTCAGTATATGTATGAAGGAGGTAAGGTACAAAAGACTGGTGGTCAGTATATGTATGAAGGAGGTGAGGTACAAAAGACTGGTGGTCAGTATATGTATGAAGGAGGTAAGGTACAAAAGACTGGTGGTCAGTATATGTATGAAGGAGGTAAGGTACAAAAGACTGGTGGTCAGTATATGTATGAAGGAGGTAAGGTACAAAAGACTGGTGGTCAGTATATGTATGAAGGAGGTAAGGTACAAAAGACTGGTGGTCAGTATATGTATGAAGGAGGTGAGGTACAAGAGACTGGTGGTCAGTATATGTATGAAGGAGTAAGGTACAAAAGACTGGTGGTCAGTATATGTATGAAGGAGGTGAGGTACAAAAGACTGGTGGTCAGTATATGTATGAAGGAGGTAAGGTACAAAAGACTGGTGGTCAGTATATGTATGAAGGAGGTAAGGTACAAAAGACTGGTGGTCAGTATATGTATGAAGGAGGTAAGGTACAAAAGACTGGTGGTCAGTATATGTATGAAGGGGGTAAGGTACAAAAGACTGGTGGTCAGTATATGTATGAAGGGGGTAAGGTACAAAAGACTGGTGGTCAGTATATGTATGAAGGAGGTAAGGTACAAAAGACTGGTGGTCAGTATATGTATGAAGGGGGTAAGGTACAAAAGACTGGTGGTCAGTATATGTATGAAGGGGGTAAGGTACAAAAGACTGGTGGTCAGTATATGTATGAAGGAGGTGAGGTACAAAAGACTGGTGGTCAGTATATGTATGAGGGGGTAAGGTACAAAAGACTGGTGGTCAGTATATGTATGAAGGGGTGAGGTACAAGGGACTGGTGGTCAGTATATGTATGAAGGGGGTGAGGTACAAGAGACTGGTGGTCAGTATATGTATGAAGGGGGTTATGTTAGGTCAGTATATGTATGAAGGTACAAGTGACTGGTACAGAGCATGTATAGTTCCTTTGTATAGGGAAAAGTAGGATAAAACAGAATATACGAATTATAGGGTAAAAAAGCCTGTCAAATATGCCAAGTAAAATGTATGGTGAAGTTATTATTGAAAGTATTACGTAGGAGAGAGGGAGATTAGTTTCAAGTAAAAATAGACCTTAGATGAGGTTGTAAGAGAAGTGAAAACTAGATTCTTAGAGGCAAGAACCTGGGAGAGAGTGAATTTGGTACAGAGCTGCAGTTGTCACAGTTGATTTTTGCCAATGACACTTTTCGTTGGAGATCCGGAAGAGAAGTTGCAAAGGTTGATAAATGAATTTGGGAGCGTATGTAAAAGAATGCAATTAAAAGTAAAGAGGAAAGAGCATGGTAGATTGAACATCAGATTATCAGAAAGGTGTATGGAGCAAGTAAATGTGTTCAGATATTTGTGAGTGAACTTGTCGGCAGATTGTTCTCTCAGAGATGAGATGAACCTAGAACTGACGAAAGGAAGGAGGTAGGATTGTATTAGATTTGGTTGAATCCTACTTAATAATAGGAGTTCAAATAATGATGTTTTGAAGTAGATAAGTTTGCAATACCGACAAGAGGAAGAATTAGACACATGTATCTGGGTATCTTAATTTGTAGACGTTTCACCATCCAGTGGCTTTATGAATACAAATTTAATGACATATTGTTATGCAGTCCTATTATGTCCTTGAATTTAAATTGGTAAAGCCACTGTATAGCGATACGTCTTCGTCTTCAATCATAGCTTTGTTAACTGCCCGTTGAGAATGTACATATAATTTATATATTTATTGTAAGTTTATCATAATAAAATAAACTCTCTTGTCATATTCATAAATATTAGGAAACAATCTCATATGTTTTTGATACTATTGGTGCCTCTTCCTGAGTCAGGAGTCTGTCCATGAGGTGATGGAACTGGATCTTCTGACACAACTGGTGTGAGTCTCTGCTGTGTGGATAAGACTTGACACTTTCTCTGGCAACACTGTTATTATGTGACGGGAAGGTGAAACTGACGTGTTGAAAAAGATGTCACTGACGTGTTATAGAGGATGAAGATATCACTGACGTGTTATAGAGGATGACGAAGCTATCACTGACTTGTTATAGAGGATGATGATGAAGGTATCACTAACATGTTATAGAGGATGATGTCTGGGATCCAAACTTTGTCGTGGGTGACTATCAGCTGCGTGGTGCCGTTGTAGTTTCTGGGGTGCCAGGTGAGGTAAGGGTCAGTCCAGGTGAGGATCATCTCAGCATTCGTCAACATTATCCCATCCTTGGTGTTCTGCAGGACAGAAAAGAGACATCTGAGAAGCTGGCCAGAGAAGTGACCTCTATGGGATGCTAGACATAGAAGTGACATCTCTGGGATACTGGACAGAGAAGTGACATCTCTGGGATGCTGGACAGAGAAGTGACATCTCTGGGATGTTGGACAGAGAAGTGACATCTCTGGGATGCTGGACAGTGAAGTAACTTCTCTGGGATGTTGGACAGAGAAGTGACATCTCTGGGATGCTGGACAGTGAAGTAACTTCTCTGGGATACTGGACAGAGAAGTGACATCTCTGTGAAGCTGGACAGTGAAGTAACTTCTCTGGGATGCTGGGCAGAGAAGTGACCTCTATGGGATGCTGGGCAGAGAAGTGACCTCTCTGGGATGCTGGACATAGAAGTGACATCTCTGGGATGCTGGACAAAGAAGTGACCTCTATGGGATGCTGGACAGAGAAGTGACCTCTATGGGATGCTGGACATAGAAGTGACATCTCTGGGATACTGGACAGAGAAGTGACATCTCTGGGATGCTGGACAGAGAAGTGACATCTCTGTGAAGCTGGTCAGAGAAGTGACGTCTCTGGGATGTGGGACAGAGAAATGACGTCTCTGGGATGCTGGACAGAGAAATGACTTCTCTGGGATGCAGGACAAAGAATTGACGTCTCTGGGATGTGGGAAAGAGAAATTACGTCTCTGGGATGCTGGACATAGAAGTGAGATCTCTGGGATGCTGGACAGAGAAGTGACCTCTCTGGGATGCTGGACATAGAAGTGACATCTCTGGGATGACGGACAGATAAGTGACGCCTCTGGGATGCTGGACAGAGAAGTGACATCTCTGGGATGCTGGACAGAGAAGTGACGTCTCTGGGATGCTGGACAGAGAAGTGACGTCTCTGGGATGCTGGGCATAGAAGTGACATCTCTGGGATGCTGGACAGAGAAGTGACCTCTATGGGGTGCTGGACAGAGAAGTGACCTCTATGGGATGCTGGACATAGAAGTGACATCTCTGGGATACTGGACAGAGAAGTGACATCTCTGGGATGCTGGACAGAGAAGTGACATCTCTGTGAAGCTGGTCAGAGAAGTGACGTCTCTGGGATGTGGGACAGAGAAATGACGTCTCTGGGATGCTGGACAGAGAAGTGACTTCTCTGGGATGCAGGACAAAGAAGTGACGTCTCTGGGATGTGGGATAGAGAAATGACGTCTCTGGGATGCTGGACATAGAAGTGAGATCTCTGGGATGCTGGACAGAGAAGTGACCTCTCTGGGATGCTGGACAGAAGTGACATCTCTGGGATGATGGACAGATAAGTGACGCCTCTGGGATGCTGGACAGAGAAGTGACATCTCTGTGAAGCTGGTCAGAGAAGTGACGTCTCTGGGATGTGGGACAGAGAAATGACGTCTCTGGGATGCTGGACAGAGAAGTGACTTCTCTGGGATGCAGGACAAAGAAGTGACGTCTCTGGGATGTGGGATAGAGAAATGACGTCTCTGGGATGCTGGACATAGAAGTGAGATCTCTGGGATGCTGGACAGAGAAGTGACCTCTCTGGGATGCTGGACAGAAGTGACATCTCTGGGATGATGGACAGATAAGTGACGCCTCTGGGATGCTGGACAGAGAAGTGACATCTCTGGGATGATGGACAGAGAAGTGACGTCTCTGGGATGCTGGACAGAGAAGTACGTCTCTGGGATGCTGGGCGTCGACCCCTTATCATACAGTGACTCTCAGTAGTAAATGCCTCTCATTAAACACTGTCATTTTCCGGACAGCGCAGTGGACAGAACAGTTTATTTCTACCTTGATACTGATGTATTACCAAGCCGAGTACGGTGATGGTTTACCAAGCCGAGTACGATGATGGTTTGCCAAGCCGAGTACGGTGATAGTTTAGAAAGCCGAGTGCGGCGATGGATTACCAAGCCAAGTACGGTGATGGATTACCAAGCCGGGTACGGTGATGGATTACCAAGCCGAGTACGGCGATGGATTACCAAGCCGAGTACGGTGATGGTTTACCAAGCTGAGTACGGTGATAGTTTAGAAAGCCGAGTACGGTGATGGATTACCGAGCCGAGTACGTTGACGGATTACCAAGCCGAGTACGGTAATGGATTACCGAGCCGGGTACGGCGATGGATTACCAAGCCGAGTACGGTGACGGATTACCAAGCCGAGCACGGTAATAGATTACCAAGCCGAGTACGGCGATGGATTACCAAGCCGAGTACGGTGATGGTTTACCAAGCCGAGTACGGTGATAGTTTAGAAAGCCGTGTACGGTGATGGATTACCGAGCCGAGTACGGTGATGGATTACCAAGCCGAGTACGGTGATGGTTTACCAAGCCGGGTACGGTGATGGATTACCAAGCCGAGTACGGTAATGGATTACCAAGCCGGGTACGGCGATGGATTACCAAGCCGAGTACAGTGATGGATTACCAAGCCGAGTACGGTGATGGATTACCAAGCCGAGTACGGCCATGGATTACCAAGCCGAGTACAGTGATGGATTACCAAGCCGAGTATGGGCGATGGATTACCAAGTCGGGTACTGTGATGGATTACCAAGCCGAGTACGGTGACGGATTACCAAGCTGAGTATGGGCGATGGATTACCAAGTCGGGTACTGTGATGGATTACCAAGCCGAGTACGGTGACGGATTACCAAGCCGAGTATGGGCGATGGATTACCAAGTCGGGTACTGTGATGGATTACCAAGCCGAGTACGGTGATGGATTACCAAGCCGAGTATGGGCGATGGATTACCAAGTCGGGTACTGTGATGGATTACCAAGCCAAGTACGGTGATGGATTACCAAGCCGGGTACGGTGATGGATTACCAAGCCGAGTACGGTGACGGATTACCAAGCTGAGTACGGTGACGAACTACCAAGCTGAGTACGGTGATGAATTACCAAGCTGAGTATACTGATGAATTACCAAACTGAGTACGTTGAAAAGAGCAAGCTGGATGGTGACGTAGATGATGTGATCAGGAGACACGCGAGGCAGCATGTTCCTATTGTAGTTATCGAAGAGGTCCTTGTAGAGCTGTTGTCTGTAGGATGGCCATGCACTCCGACTCTCCTTGCCTGCCAACATTCATTGTAAATAACACTATTAACAATGTCAGTAACAAATACAAAAGTAACAGCCGCAGCAGCAGCAACAACAACAACAATATAATAATAATAATAATAATAATAATAATAATAATAATAATAATAATAATAATAATAATAATAATAATAATAATAATAATAATATCATTATTTACATAAAAAGTCTTAATTAATATTCTATTTTGGGTTCATGAAGATCCAGCATTTTTAATGGATTTAAAAAAAAACAAAAAAAAACAAAAAAAAAAAAAAACACTTTTGAGTGGAAAATAAGGGTAGAGTGCCTTCACCTCCTGCTGGTGTACTGTTCGCTGCCTGGGTAAGTGTACCATTGTTCGCTGTTTGAATGCTCTGTCGCTTTACCCTCTTAGACGCTTCTGCTCCTGCAGATCCTTCGGCAGTATTGAGTTCGAGTGAGTGTTGGGGAACGCTTGACTGTTGTTCTTCTACAAGAAGCCCTGGTGCTGGTAGATTGCTAGTTCTGCTGGTGTCGGTGTTACTGCTGCCGGCACTATTGCTAGTTCTGCTGTTGCTGGTACTACTGCTGCTGGTACTGCTGTTTCTGCTGGGCTTTACAGCCGCTAGTGTCGCTCTTACCTGCGGATCTCTGCTTAAATCATCTGGTACCGGAAGATTAGCTGCATCTGAAGGTTTCCGCGTCTCTTGCAAGGTAGCTGAATGCGAAGCCTCTAAAACACCAAGGAAATTTAGTTTTCCCGGTCCACCACTCTGGAATAAATTTTCTTTTGACATGAGAGCAGCTGGTGTTAATGGAGTGCATGGAGGCTTCACGGCTTCATGAGCAGCAAGTGGGTGTGCTTCCCCCGGGGGACGTGGCGCTGCTGTCACCTCTGATGTTTTGTCTGTGAGAGTCACAGCAGCGAGTGGGTGTACTTTCCCCGGGGGACGTGGCGTTGCTGTGACCTCTGATGTTTCGTCTGTGAGAGTCACAGCAGCCATTGACCAAGTCATCCCCTGGAGAACACCTGTAAAAAAGACAGGAGAATGTGAATGTATATTTTTCACAATCCAGAGTTAAACACGCGTTTGAAGTGCTCTTGAGTGGCTGTTTACACTTGCCTCTGGAGTACACACAAATTTTCATTTCCACTGTAATACGTTCAATAAACTGCAGTGACACTCACGACAGGGCTCTGGTGGCCTGGTGGATAACGCTCTCGCTTCACACGGTGAGGGCCTGGGTTCGATTCCCAGCCAGAGTAGAAACATTGGACGTGTTTCTTTCCACCTGTTGTCTATGTTCCCCATCAGTAAAATGGGTACCTGGGTGTTAGTCGACTGGTGTGGGTCGCATCCTGGGACACTGACCTAAGGAGGCCTGGTCACAGACCGGGCCGCGGGGGCGTTGACCCCCGGAACTCTCTCCAGATATACTCCAGATATACAGTCGCCGCAGAGTTCGTGATAACTCTCACCACCCAATATATGGACCAATGTACCGTAACCATTGTCCTTACTACCATAGTCCTCGGTACCATAAATCTGCTGTATAATTCACCTTTTCGAGAAATTAAATTCCCTTTCAAATTAGAGCGAGTCTCGCCTCAGCAGCAAGTGACCGGGAGTTCACATTAAGACTGATGAACTCCGGAAAGCATAAGCACTACTGGTTTTCCCCCTGGCAGGCTAGTTCTCAACAACAACAACACTCTGTATAGTGCCGAAGAGATACAGTGAATCATGCAACTTGTGGAAAATACTGTCTATTTTCTGGAAATACGGTAATTTATAGGTAAATAGATGGCCTATATTGTATTTAATAAAATTGTTATAAAACAATGGGAAGCTGCGCCTGCGCAGACGAGACTCGCCATTGTTT